GCGCCGAGCTATTACGCACACTTGTACACAGTTACATGCAAATGACACTAGGCTGCTACAAAGTAACCACACATCCCCACAAATCACTGGTGTAGTACTACATGATTTACTGCTTTATACCACATCTGCACCAAGAAGATGCCTGGACTTCTCTGTAGCTGCTTAAAATGCCCCAGGATATGTCCTCCCTTTCCTTTATTTTTGGGCTATATTTTTGTCACAAAGAAAATGGGCGGGTAGACACGAGCATTGTACTGATCAAAGTTCAGGCAACAGAGTAGTCTGTGTGCATAACAACTACAAAACTGAGTGCTTCAGCTGTACGATCACACCCAAAGGTGGAAAACTAAAAACTAAAAATGTTTGTATATAACAATGTGACATCTCCATCCATCCATCCATCCATCCATCCATCCATCCATCCATCCATCCATCCATCCTCTCATGCTTCTCTAGCTCTTCTGGGGGCATACGAAACCATTCCCAAGCCATGTGTTCTGAGTCGGTCCAGGGACTTCTCATAGTAGGATATGTCTGAAACACTTCACCTAGGAGGTGCCCAGGATGCATCCAGATCAGATGCCCACAGCATTGTGATGGAGTCCTTTCGTTGTGGAAGAGTAGTAACTCTACTCTGAGTCCCCTCCCCCGAATGTCTGATCTCTTAGGTTGAGCTTCTACACCTTACAGAGGATTCTCTTTTCCACCATTTGTTTCCATTCTCATTCTGTCCATCACCACCCAGATAACCTGACCACAGGTGAGGGTGGGATTATATCAACTGATAGACTGACAGCTTTGTTTTCATGCTCAGCTCGCTCTGCAACACAACAGACTGGAACAGCTTCTTCATCACTGATGACTGTGCTAATTCATCTGTCAGTCTCTTGTTCCATTCTTCCTTCATTCATGAACAAGACCCCAAGATACTTACATAAGATATTCATCTGTTTGGGGTAGCAACTCAAGGGCAACCAGTAGTCGGCACTCCACCCTTTTCCGGCCGAGAATCATGGCCTCAGACTTGGAGATGCTATTTTTTACCCCAGATGCTTCACACTTGGCTGCAAACTGCCCAGTGCAATCTGGAGGTAATGGGTCAATGAAGCCAACAGAACGACATCATCTGCAAAAAGCAGAGATGAGATCCGAGACCGTTGTACCCGAGACCTTCCAACCCTTGGCGGCACCCTAGAAAATGGTTTGAACCTGCAGGGGTCTCGAGGCGCTCTGGCTTCCTCTCAAACTCCAAAGACATGCATGCGAGATTATAATTGGAGATTCTGAAATTGGTGTGGATGTGAATGTGAAGATGACTGGTGACACTCACACTATGACAGCTACAATAGGCTCCTCCCCTCTGCGACCCTGAACTGGATAACCAGTTGAGAAAAATGGTGGATGGAAGGATTTTTTTGACAGAACTTTTATTTGAGTGATTTTGTTTTGTTTTGCAAATGAACGGAAACATGATAATGGAATTAACTATTATGCTAATTTACCCAGTTATTTTACTTCAATTTTCAAGCAGACATTAAACTATTAAAAACTGAACAGTTTGTGACTAGTTCTAGTCAAAAAATATATATTACACTTGTTTAGAGTGGCACATTGTCAGATGTAATCCACCTCAATTCTCATAAGATGGCAGTTTGCAGACTAGCTCATTAAACAACCAAGAATAAGAGGCCATCGCCGGCCGATAATTTCAGAATGCTGCAAATGGTGCTTCTTTAGTGCTCTACAACAGCAGCATTCTCCCATATGATATAAGCATTTGGAATTACACACTGAAAGTCAATAACTATATGCAAATAAGAGTATAGTTAATTTACAACCAGTTATTGTAGACTTTCAGACTCGTAAATTGTTATAGAATATGTTGGATGTCAACAGCTGTCAGACCATTACAGCTATTGAAAAAGTGGGACATCTATCTCACTTGGCCTGTATATTCTGTGTGTTAGGGAGTTTGGTGGTGTTTATGAGGTGCTGCTCCATCATTGGCGTATACATTACTGCGAGGGAGTATGCCTACTACAGTAAAATAGACTACACCACTGCTCCACATACAGTACAGCAAACTGGTCTGTTGGGACTTTTCATTCAGGTTATGATCAGATACTGGATTAAAATATTTTTCAAATAAAACATCCTTTCCAACTCTCTCTTTTAGTAAAAGTTAAGCACGTTGCAAAGCAGTCATGGCTGTGTTACATTTCATGACACAATGTAACCATTTATGAAGTGAGCTGGAGTCGAATTAAAACTCAAATCGCATCCTATAACAAGTGATGCAGTCGTATACTGCAAATTACTCTGTTTTTTTACAATTAATTTTTTACTGTAAGTTTCTGCCATCATTATACAAATACAGTAAAACCAATAAAACACACGCCATCTGCACTTCTGTGGCAGTGCGGGCTTAGGCTGTGCCTCTCTGCGCTGTGCAGACAACAATATGAATTCCCAGAGTGTCTTTGGGATTGTTAAGGTATTCAGGGTTTTTTGTAAATGCAGGCTATCCTCTCGAACCACTTTCGCTGTGAGCCAAAGGAAAATCACTGGCATTCTAATTAAATTATTTTTCTATTAATTGGGCTCCATTTACTCAAGCTTAATAACCAGGATATTTAGAGCGCCCTAGGGTATTATTTTCAATACTGTGAAATCTTGATAGGTTTTTGTTTATCAAACGACCAAAAATAGCAGGAAATGCACTGATTTCTGTCCAGTGAGGTAAACCAGACTCACTGCCTTTATTATAAGTGGCTCGCTCATCCTCAGGAGTGCACCTCCCCAAAGGCTCATTCTAAGCTGAGAAAAATCCCTGCCTGTCTGTGAATAGCACAGCTGCAGCAGAAGACAGAAGCTGACACTTTTAAAAAAGAAACTATAATCACAACCCTCTCTGATATGTATATATCCCCCTTCAGCCTCTTACTGTGTGCTGTATGGATGTGAACCACAGTCAAAGGCGTGATTGCAGATGGCACAAAGTCTGTGGGTCCAAGACCCAAAGCCCACCGCACACCGCAAAATAAGACCCTAGATCATAAAGCATGGGGATGGAAACACCAGCATCCTCATTAAGCAACAAGAAACCCAACATGGGATTAATTTGAAGCAGTGCAGCATATTTGACTGGTCAACAGCCCGTCCTACCATTACAGCAGGAGGGATCTTAAACACTTCTCGCTCTCAGCGCACTGGCTTATATTCATTTAAAATAAACAAGGCTGATTAAAAAATAAATTTGCTCCAGCACTTGCCAAGCAATTTCTAAATTTTACAGCTGATTAGCCGTCTTACATTCCACACTTCCTGTTAGTGTCTGCAGATCACACAGAGAGAGAGGAACAACAAATTTGTGATAAAAAAGACAGAACGGGCCTGAGTCATCTCGCTTCGTGTAGGGTTTGTTTGTTTGAGTGGAAACCTAATGAGTACGGTATGCTCGACTGATAAGTAGAAAATGGCCAATGCTCTGATCGTAATAGTTAACATAAATATAAAATTGATGACGGGAAGCTTTTTAAAATCCATTTCTCTCATTATAAATAATAGTTAATACCATCCACAACCCAGAATACTCTGCTACAAGTACATCATATTTAGAAAACAATGGTGGGCTGGCTAGCTTTTAAGTCAGAATGTCAAACTTGTGTTCAAATGTTGCAACTTGAAATGTCACATGTGTATCTTTGCTTAAGACGCAAGCCACATTTGTTGTCAGTCTCACAACACACCACCAACAGGCTTCCTCCACTGGCTAACTCAGAACTCAGAAGCCTGTTATCATTGGTAACCAGCAATAGAGAGTGACCAGTTTATGTGGGAGGCATCTCGTGGTCATGGGAAGACACGAGATGCCTGGCTTTTGACATGGCAAATGTCAAAAGCCAGAAGCCAGACCCTCACGGAGATAATGAGACAGTGGTCAGCTACGTTAGGCACCGACACTAACCTAAAGAACGCCCAGAAATGAAACCAAACAAGTGAAAATATCATAATTTGACATCAAAAATTAAACAGCCTTTTACCTGCTCTGTGCATTGTCTGTGTGACCTGTTGTGCTCATACAACAACAGAGCAGGTAGGCGAGTGTCTGGCTTGTATACTGATCCTGCACATCTTACCTGTGACTTGAACAAAGTTATGTTTTTTTTTGTTTGCATTCAGGGACCGATTGCAAGTAGTTGCAGCAGTTAACTGATCACCCAGAGGCCCACCAAGTTATTTTATAGTTAAATGACCATCCTGCAGCAACTACATGACCATGTGTGGAGAATTTCTGAATTTATTAGGTCTTCAGATCTTTGGGATTGTGGTTGGCTTCTGAATGTAAGCGGTTAATGTGAATTTCTGTGCAACAGATTTGCAACAGATGGCAACAGATTTGCGATTTTTATTTTTTTTATCACACTTAATTGCCGTTTTATCACCCCACAGATTGCCTGTAATTGCCAACTTGACCCCATTCAGTGCAAACTAACAGCAGACGGACTCCATCTTACCGCCACTTTTAAGCGTCATGTCGCTGCACCAAAGTCGCTTTGAAGACGGCAGCTGACTGCGAATGGTCTTCGAAGCAGCTAATTCAAAAGCAAAGAGATTCCGAGTTCACTGCACACAGACCCAATGATTTTGGTCATGCCTATTTTCACTGGTGTGACTGCAGCATTAATCAAATTCCCAGAAGTGAGAACGCATCTGTGAAACAGACTATCTCCTGCAGTGTGTTGCATGTGAGAAAGGAGGAGCA